ACGTTTCTTGGATCCTTGAAAAAATATTCTTTAAAAAATCCACGTTTCTTGGATCCTTGAAAAAATATTCTTTAAAAAATCCACGTTTCTTGGATCCTTGGAAAAAAATATTCTTTAAAAAATCCACGTTTCTTGGATCCTTGGAAAAAAATATTCTTTAAAAAATCCACGTTTCTTGGATCCTTGAAAAAATATTCTTTAAAAAATCCACGTTTCTTGGATCCTTGAAAAAATATTCTTTAAAAAATCCACGTTTCTTGGATCCTTGAAAAAATATTCTTTAAAAAATCCACGTTTCTTGGATCCTTGAAAAAATATTCTTTAAAAAATCCACGTTTCTTGGATCCTTGGAAAAAAATATTCTTTAAAAAATCCACGTTTCTTGGATCCTTGAAAAAATATTCTTTAAAAAATCCACGTTTCTTGGATCCTTGAAAAAGTATTCTTTAAAAAATCCACGTTTCTTGGATCCTTGAAAAAATATTTGTTTAAAAAAATCCACGTTTCTTGGATCCTTGAAAAAATATTTGTTTAAAAAATCCACGTTTCTTGGATCCTTGAAAAAATATTCGTTTAAAAAATCCACGTTTCTTGGATCCTTGAAAAAAAATTCTTTTAAAAAATCCACGTTTCTTGGATCCTTGAAAAAAATTCTTTAAAAAATCCACGTTTCTTGGATCCTTTAAAAAAAATTCTTTAAAAAATCCACGTTTCTTGGATCCTTGAAAAAAGTATTCTTTAAAAAATCCACGTTTCTTGGATCCTTGAAAAAAGTATTCTTTAAAAAATCCACGTTTCTTGGATCCTTGAAAAAATATTCGTTTAAAAAATCCACGTTTCTTGGATCCTTGGAAAAATATTCGTTTAAAAAATCCACGTTTCTTGGATCCTTGAAAAAATATTCGTTTAAAAAATCCACGTTTCTTGGTCCTTGGGTCCTTGAAAAAATATTTTTTAAAAAATTCACGTTTCTTGGTCCTTGAGTCCTTGAAAAATATTTTTTAAAAATTCACGTTTCTTCAACTGGTGGTCCTTGAAAAAATATTTTTTAAAAAATCCACGTTTCTTGGATCCTTGAAAAAATATTCGTTTAAAAAAATCCACGTTTCTTGGATCCTTGAAAAAATATTCGTTTAAAAAATCCACGTTTCTTGGATCCTTGAAAAAAATATTGTTTAAAAAATCCACGTTTCTTGGATGCTTGAAAAAATATTCTTTAAAAAATCCACGTTTCTTGGGTCCTTGAAAAAAATATTCTTTAAAAAATCAAAACTTGGGTCAATGTACTCAGAAAATATATTTTCCATTTATCCTTGATCTTTTGTTGGCTTCCTTGTCATTTCATGCCATGTAAGCCATAATTGCTTTACAAGTTCTAGACAATAAAAAATCGCTGTTTTGTAACCTGGCACATACATCAAAATGTCCGAGAATTGGCATTTTTGTTCTGATTCCACTGAAAGCGGGCCAATTTGCAGCTCCGCTATGCTAATGGGGAGTTTGTTTAAATCAGAACAAAAAATAAAATTCCAATTATATATTAATGCAAAACAAGTTAACACATTTTTTTTCAAAACATTTTTTCACTCTAAAATAAACAACAAACCACGTAGAATATGTCATCGATGATAGACCCCACTCAGAGGTTTGTGTGTGGCTCATATTTGTTGATTTGTTTTTTACGATCGTCATGATGATGATCTGATCTGGGCTGATATCAAAAGTCATCAGAAAACGACAAGTCTACCAAAACACAAATCTGACAGCAGTCCACTTGTCCGACCAATCTGCCCCCAACCCAAACGAGAGAGGCTGTCATAAAAATTACCCAGCTTTTGCTTTATGTGTTTCAAGTATTGAAATAATTAAAAAAAATAAACTTTACATTTCTGAGTTGGATTTTTTTTTTGTTAAATTGAAGTAACGTTGTTTAGGGCTGGGGCAGAATGACGCATTATTTGCCACTTCATAGCTTTGTGATTTTATTTCAATTTTTTTCTTTGTATTTTGTTCGACCGGTGACAATGTCCGTTAATTGCCTTTGCTTAATTTATTTAAAGTTTATTCATGTTTTAATTAATGTTTTACATTTAACAAAAATTATTATCGCTCATAAGTGATTTAAATGGATCGTTAAATGGGCACGGAGCAAAATTGCCTTCGGGAAGGGGCCAATTAAAAAAAAAATGATTGCCGCAAAATTTACAAAGTGCACAAAAAGTTTGATGTCAATGGACTTTTGAAATGAAATACAATTTCAAAAATTATAATTTTTAATATATTATTTTAAATAAATATTTTTTCAAGGTTCCAAGAAACGTGGATTTTGTAAGGAATATTTTTCAAGTATCCAAGAAACGTGGATTTTTTAAAGAATATTTTTTCAAGTATCCAAGAAACGTGGATTTTTTAAAGAATATTTTTTCAAGTAGCCAAGAAACGTGGATTTTTTAAAGAATATTTTTTCAAGTAGCCAAGAAACGTGGATTTTTTAAAGAATATTTTTTCAAGTATCCAAGAAACGTGGATTTTTTAAAGAATATTTTTTCCAAGGATCCAAGAAACGTGGATTTTTTAAAGAATATTTTTTCAAGTATCCAAGAAACGTGGATTTTTTAAAGAATATTTTTTCAAGTATCCAAGAAACGTGGTTTTTTTAAAGAATATTTTTTCAAGTATCCAAGAAACGTGGATTTTTTAAAGAATATTTTTTCAAGCATCCAAGAAACGTGGATTTTTTAAAGAATATTTTTCAAGCATCCAAGAAACGTGGTTTTTTTAAAGAATATTTTTCAAGTATCCAAGAAACGTGGATTTTTTAAAGAATATTTTTTCCAAGGATCCAAGAAACGTGGATTTTTTAAAGAATATTTTTTCAAGTATCCAAGAAACGTGGATTTTTTAAAGAATATTTTTTCAAGTATCCAAGAAACGTGGATTTTTTAAAGAATATTTTTTCAAGTATACAAGAAACGTGGATTTTTTAAAGAATATTTTTTCAAGGATCCAAGTAACGTGGATTTTTTAAAGAATATTTTTTTAAGGATTCAAGTAACGTAGATCTTTTAAAGAATATTTTTTCCAAGGATCCAAGAAACGTGGATTTTTTAAACGAATATTTTTTCAAGGATCCAAGAAACGTGGATTTTTTTAAACGAATATTTTTTCAAGATCCAAGAAACGTGGATTTTTTAAAGAATATTTTTTCAAGGATCGAAGAAACGTGGATTTTTTAAACGAATATTTTTTCAAGGATCCAAGAAACGTGAATTTTTTAAAAAATATTTTTCAAGGACCATCCAAGAAACGTGGATTGTTTAAAGAATATTTTTTCAAGGACCATCCAAGAAACGTGGATTTTTTAAAGAATATTTTTTCAAGGACCCAAGAAACGTGGATTTTTTAAAGAATATTTTTTCCAAGGATCCAAGAAACGTGGATTTTTTAAAGAATATTTTTTCCAAGGATCCAAGAAACGTGGATTTTTTAAAGAATATTTTTTCAAGTATCCAAGAAACGTGGATTTTTTAAAGAATATTTTTTCAAGTATCCAAGAAACGTGGTTTTTTTAAAGAATATTTTTTCAAGTATCCAAGAAACGTGGATTTTGTAAGGAATATTTTTCAAGTATCCAAGAAACGTGGATTTTTTAAAGAATATTTTTTCAAGTATCCAAGAAACGTGGATTTTTTAAAGAATATTTTTTCAAGGATCCAAGTAACGTGGATTTTTTAAAGAATATTTTTTTAACTATTCAAGTAACGTAGATCTTTTAAAGAATATTTTTTCCAAGGATCCAAGAAACGTGGATTTTTTTAAACGAATATTTTTTCAAGATCCAAGAAACGTGGATTTTTTAAAGAATATTTTTTCAAGGATCGAAGAAACGTGGATTTTTTAAACGAATATTTTTTCAAGGATCCAAGAAACGTGAATTTTTTAAAAAATATTTTTCAAGGACCATCCAAGAAACGTGGATTGTTTAAAGAATATTTTTTCAAGGACCATCCAAGAAACGTGGATTTTTTAAAGAATATTTTTTCAAGGACCCAAGAAACGTGGATTTTTTATAGAATATTTTTTCAAGGACCATCCAAGAAACGTGGATTTTTTAAACGAATATTTTTTCAAGATCCAAGAAACGTGGATTTTTTAAAGAATATTTTTTCAAGGATCGAAGAAACGTGGATTTTTTAAACGAATATTTTTTCAAGGATCCAAGAAACGTGAATTTTTTAAAAAATATTTTTCAAGGACCATCCAAGAAACGTGGATTGTTTAAAGAATATTTTTTCAAGGACCATCCAAGAAACGTGGATTTTTTAAAGAATATTTTTTCAAGGACCCAAGAAACGTGGATTTTTTAAAGAATATTTTTTCCAAGGATCCAAGAAACGTGGATTTTTTAAAGAATATTTTTTCCAAGGATCCAAGAAACGTGGATTTTTTAAAGAATATTTTTTCCAAGGATCCAAGAAACGTGGATTTTTCAAAGAATATTTTTTCCAAGGATAAAAGAAACGTGGATTTTTTAAAGAATATTTTTTCCAAGGATCCAAAAAACGTGGATTTTCTAAAGAATATTTTCTTCAAGGATCCAAGAAACGTGGATTTTTTAAAGAATATTTTTTTTCAAGGATCCAAGAAAAGTGGATTTTTTAAACGAATATTTTTTCAAGGATCCAAGAAAAGTGGATTTTTTAAACGAATATTTTTCCAAGGATCCAAGAAACGTGGATTTTTTAAAGAATATTTTTTCCAAGGATCCAAGAAACGTGGATTTTTTAAAGAATATTTTTTCCAAGGATCCAAGAAACGTGGATTTTCTAAAGAATATTTTCTTCAAGGATCCAAGAAACGTGGATTTTTTAAAGAATATTTTTTTTCAAGGATCCAAGAAAAGTGGATTTTTTAAACGAATATTTTTTCAAGGATCCAAGAAACGTGGATTTTTTAAAGAATATTTTTTCAAGGACCTTCAATGAAGATTTTTGAAATATATCTTTCATTTTTATTTTAAATAGATCCTCCTCTCTTCTGCTTCTAGCCTCCTGGTTTTTTTTCTCTCTTCTCCATCTAACCTTTACAAATTGTTCTTTAACTCCTTAATTTTCTGAATCATATTTTCTTTAATTTTCTCCAAATTTCTTGAAGTCTTCTTCGGCTTATCCCAGGTCAGAACATTCACTTTACCACTGTGTTCAACATCCAAGCGGAAATAAATGGGCTTTCCACCACCACTACCACCCTTGACATGTTCATAGTTTTTTGATTTTTGCAAAATTTCCTTGTCACGGGAATAGCAAATGTTTCTACGCTTCACTCGGGACAAATCCTTAGATCTGGAGGTTTTTGTGACCACACACCGGTGGGTATTTTGGGGGCAGACAATGCGATCGCAGCGAAAGTTGCCTGGGGAAAAATAATAAAAATTTGAAAATAAAATTGGAAATATAAAATTTTCAAAATTTACTCGTCTTGGTCTCTATGGTGATGTCCTCGACATTGAAAATTTCTGCTTGAGCCAATTTAAGGACTCCAATTAGGATTAAAATTGCACAGAGGTATAAAGGAGGAATTTTAAAATTCATATTTAAAAAATTTTGTTTTCCTATTTTTTTTTTAATTGCTGTTCCAGTCGTATTGACTTTCGAATTAATTATGAAAATTATAACAGAAAGCTAGCACTTCAATACCTCGTCACAAACATGAATCTAGCAGAGTACCGCAGATTACCGTTCTATTATTAAATTCTCATTCGCTTAGAAACGTACTACTGACCACAACTTTTTCTATTTTTTGAGTAAGAATAAAAAATTACAAAATGCTTAGCCACGTATTTTTTTCCAAATGATTCAAGGCCAAATAAATAGATTCCCTTTTTTTCAGAATTTTCTGCAAAGTCCAAATCTGAAGCCTTCCCGATGCCTATATTTGAGGGAATATGAATAGCTTTAATCAAAATTCGAGGCCTCAAAATCATTTACAATAATACTGTGCAATAGACAATCGGGTGTGTGGGAAATTCTCAATGGAGGTGTAAATATTCGGTTAGTATATCAAAATCCCAAAATGGAGTTTGGGTTCTTAGACCAAAATTATTTTATGGTCCATTTTATAGAGCCTTAATCACCCTCAAAGGGCCTCAAACTTTCTTTGCAACATTTTAGGATAGAGCATAAATTTGTTTGTATAAAATATGGGTCATGTCCGTCCACGTTTTGGCATAGGCCCCAAGTAAGGATATAACCCGGTTTCGAGTACTTTATACATTATAGCTATATTTTTCACACTAAATTCGGCCACACTTGGCAATTTGAGTTCTTAGTAAGAAGAAGTCATAATTGCAAAAAATTATCCACTTAGGTCCACTTTTCAGTAGAACCCCCATATGAAGGTCTCCCCTGATTTTAGCAATTTCCGGGTTTTTGGGCACATTTTTCGATTGTTTTGGCCCTTATTCTTGGTTTCTTGTTTTCTAAGGGGGGTTAGAAAATCTCTTCGCAAGAAACTTTAAAGGTAGGACAATGTTTCGGACTGCTGCCCATATGAAGGGGTATCTCCAGATTTTACTCATCATCGAGCGTCTTGACCAAATTTTCCAATCGGAAAGAATAAATTCGCCAAAAATAGCTGAATATAGCTGTTATATTAGGGCCTCTACGACGTGGACCTACATAGGCATTGCTTGTCATTAGCCATTACCATATTCAAATTCGAAACTTGAAATAAACGGTGAATAAGGTAGCGGAAATCATCAAAATGTCGTATATAGGGAAGTACCGTTATATCGGAGCTGTGCGAGGACCTGGGCAAGCATAGACAATTTTCTGTCACAGGCTGTAGCATCCATTACGAACTTTAAATACCAAATTTGAAACAATTCCGTTAAATAATGTCGCTAAAATCATTAAAATATCGAATATTGGGGGCTGTACCAAAACGTGGATTTACATGGCTCATTTTCAATACCAAAAATCCTCCAGAAATAATATACATTCGAGTAAAATTTCATCAACCTACTTCATTTCGTTCGGAAGCTAGGGTGATTTCCAGAGACGGATGGAGGGATAGACGGACGGGCATCGCAAAATCGACATAGAATTTTATGCTGATCATGTGGGGTCTAAAATGTATATTTCGAGGTGTTACAAACGGAATGACAAACTTAATAAAACCTCCATACTATGGTGAAGGGTATAAAAATATTTTTAAAATATTTTTTTCGTTTAAACGCAAATAATTTATCGGAACCGCCCAGACAATATTTTCAAAAAATACACGATGTTTGTTATTGATGACCTTCAAAATCATTGAAAGATTTAAGAGGTCCTCTGAAAAAATTTCAGAAAATCCTTCACAAAAAAAAATTGTGCTAATGGTTCTTCTAAATTTTTCAAATTGTTTTCACATCTCAAAAACCCATGATTTTGGTTCTGATGGTCCTTAGATACATTTGAATAAAAATCGGAGTGTCCCTCTAAAAAATTCTTAAAAATCTAAAATTTTTATCGAGTTAGAACTTGTCAAACCTCGTAGAGTGCACCGATATTATACATTTTTGTAGCTAACCTAGCACTGATACAAACATTAGGGTTTGCAAAGTTAAAATATCCACAATATTTAGTCTGGAGGTTCTTCAAAAGTGTCTAAACAATTTCATGAATTTCTGTCAAGGGTTCTCTTTAAAAAGATATCCTACAATTTCAAAAATGTTTGGCCGGTACGTTCTTTAAAATATTGACATTTTTAGGGTGTCCTTTAAAATAAGTCGAAACATCTAGGAGGAAGGATGATTTTTGGTCAAGAAATACTCTCAAAATATTAAAATCCAAGAATTCAATATTTTTGTTTAAAATTATGAAAAAATGCAAAAATATCCACAATTTTTCCTTTAAAATTTTCAACAAAATTAATAATTGAAAAAATTCAAAAAAAGTATGAAAAAAATCACGATTTTTATTCAGGATGCCCAACAAACTTTTTTTTAATTGTCCACAATGTTTGGTCAGAAGGTCCTTCAAAATTTTCAAATTTATGATTTTCTGTCAAGATATCTCTTTAAAAATTTCCTTTAATATTCTTGAAAATTTTCAGGACGTTCTTCGAAAGAGTTCTTATAAATCTTTGATTTTTGGTCAGGAATAATGTCAATAAATTTGAATCGAAACTCAAAATTTTTGGTCGGAATGTCCCACAATTTTTGTATAGGGTGTCCTGTAAAATTCTTGAAAAAAAATCCAAAGAAAAAAAAAATCCACAATTTTTTCAGGATGCCCCACAAATTTTTTCTTTAACAAATCCAAATTTTCTGTCAGAAGGTCCTTAAAAATGTACAAAAAAAATTGCAATTTTCTGTCAAGAGGAAAATCCTTCGAAAGAGTTTTTGTTTTAATCTATGATTTTTTGATCAGGAAATACTCTCGAATTGAAATTCAAAATTTTTGGTCGGAATGTCCTTCGAAATATTTTCAAAGTATCCAAAATTTTTGTTTATGGTGTCCTTTAAAATTCTTTGAAAAAATAAAAAAAATTATGAAAAAATACCCGATTTTTATTTAGATTGCCTTACAAATTTTTCTTTAAAATATCCACAATTTTTGGCGAAAAGGTCTTTCAAAATTTCGAAAAAAAAGCACGATTTTCGTCAAGTGGTCTCTTACAAATTTATATTTTATTAAGCCACAAATTCAAGCATTTTGATCGGGACGACATTCAAAATGTTCTCAAAAAATCTACATTTTATGTTCAGGGTGTTCTTTAAAATTATTCGAAAAATTAAGGAGGTCCTTCGATAGAGTTTTTTTTTTATAAATCTATGATTTTTGCCGTGGAAATACTCTCTAAAATGTATAATTGAAATTCAAGATTTTTGGTCGGACTGTCCTTCAAAATATTACCAAGGAATGCACAATTTTTGTCCATTGAAATTCTTGAAAATTTTTAATAATTATAAAAAATCACGATTTTCATTCAGGATACCCAATTTTCTTAAAAAAAAAAAAAAAAAAAAAAAAAAAAAAAAAAAAAAAACTTAAAAATATCTTAATTATCTTTAAAAATATCCTTGAAAAAATTCACAAAAAAGTATGAAAAAATCCACATTTTCATTCAAGATGCCCTAAAAATCTTCCTTAAAAATATTAACAATTTCTTTCAGAAAAGCCTTCAAAATTTTCTAAAAAATCATGATTTTCTGTCAAGAGGTCTTTATAAAAAATTATACCACAAATTCATGATTTTTGGACGGATTTGGATTGGATTTTTTTGGATTTTTGGTCAGGACATACTCTCAAAAATGTCCTTCAAAATATTCCCAAAAAATACACAAATTTTGTTTGTTTCTTGAAAAAAAAAAAATAAATAAATAAAATCCACGATTGTTATTCAGGATACCCTACAAACCTTTCTTTAAAACATCCAAACAATAGAAATCCTTTAACATTTTCTAAAAAATTAGAAATTTTCTGTCTAGAGGTCATTTTAAAAAAATTATACCACAAATTTAAGATTTTTAGACGGACTGACATTCAAAATGTTCTCAAAAAATCCACAATTTTCGTTCAGGGTGTTTTTTCAAATTATTTGAAAAAATTAGGAGGTCCTTCGATAGAAATCCTTTAACATCTTTAAAAAAAAACTATGCCACAAGTTTAAGATTTTTGGTCGGGTCGTTCTTCAAAATATTCCCAAAAATCCATAAATGTTCAGGATGTGGTTTAGATTTATTAAAAATTTGTGAGGTCCATTGAAAAATGTCTTATAAATCAAAAATCTATGATTATTGGTAAAAAAATATCCTCTCAAAAAAATTTAATTGAAATTTAAGATTTTTGCTCGAAATGTCCTTTAAAATACTCCCCAAAAATCCACAAATTTTGTGTAGGATGTCCATTAAAATTCTTGAAAAAAAAAAAATTAGGAGGCCCTTTGGAAAAAAATATGAAAAAAAAAATCCACGATTTTTGTTAAGGATTTCTGAAATTTTAATTTAATTTTTAATTTAGCGACAAATTCACAATTTTTAGTCGGGACGACATTTAGAATATTTCCAAAGAATCCAAAACTTTTGTTCAGGGTGTCCTTTAAAATTCTTGAAAAAATTTGATCAAGACGATATTCAAAATGTTCTTGTGTTCATTTCTAAAACAAATCAGGAGGTCCTTCGAAAGAATTTTTATAAATATATTTTTGCTAATAATTTATAATATTTAAAAATTCTAATTGAAATTAAAAATTTTTGCTCGGAATGTCCTTCAAAATATTCCCCAAAAAATCCATAATTTTTTCTGGGGGTGTCTTTTAAAATTCTTTAAAAATCTAGGAGGACCTTGAAAAAAGGACAACGATTTTTATTAAAAATTTCATACAAATATTTCCTTAAAATATCCATAATTTTTCCTTGCTTTCTTCAAATATTCTTAAAAAATATTTAAAGAATGTCTTGTTGTCAAGTTTTTTAAGGTAGTCCTTGAAAAAATTCAAAAAATTTGCTGGAGAAATCTAAAAAAAAAATATTTAAAAAGTTTGAGAATTTTTGTCAGAAAGTCTATTAATCTATGTTTTGAAAGAAATCACATTTTGGGCATTAAATCTGCAAGAAAGTGTGGTCGGATATACATAAATTTTACACACAATGTGTTTTTGGCAAGAATATTGAGAAGCT